TTGTTGTTGTTGTTGTTGTTGTTGTTGTTGTTGTTGTTGTTGTTGTTGTTGTTGTTGTTGTTGTTGTTGTTGTTGTTGTTGTTGTTGTTGTTGTTGTTGTTGTTGTTGTTGTTGTTGTTGTTGTTGTTGTTGTTGTTGTTGTTGTTGTTGTTGTTGTTGTTGTTGTTGTTGTTGTTGTTGTTGTTGTTGTTGTTGTTGTTGTTGTTGTTGTTGTTGTTGTTGTTGTTGTTGTTGTTGTTGTTGTTGTTGTTGTTGTTGTTGTTGTTGTTGTTGTTGTTGTTGTTGTTGTTGTTGTTGTTGTTGTTGTTGTTGTTGTTGTTGTTGTTGTTGTTGTTGTTGTTGTTGTTGTTGTTGTTGTTGTTGTTGTTGTTGTTGTTGTTGTTGTTGTTGTTGTTGTTGTTGTTGTTGTTGTTGTTGTTGTTGTTGTTGTTGTTGTTGTTGTTGTTGTTGTTGTTGTTGTTGTTGTTGTTGTTGTTGTTGTTGTTGTTGTTGTTGTTGTTGTTGTTGTTGTTGTTGTTGTTGTTGTTGTTGTTGTTGTTGTTGTTGTTGTTGTTGTTGTTGTTGTTGTTGTTGTTGTTGTTGTTGTTGTTGTTGTTGTTGTTGTTGTTGTTGTTGTTGTTGTTGTTGTTGTTGTTGTTGTTGTTGTTGTTGTTGTTGTTGTTGTTGTTGTTGTTGTTGTTGTTGTTGTTGTTGTTGTTGTTGTTGTTGTTGTTGTTGTTGTTGTTGTAGCACATTAGAGCTTGCGGTAATGTAGGTTAACACATTGCACAAGCCACCACTTCACACGCGCTCCAGCGGCTTCCAAAGAGCCCGCAGATCCCACGCTATTCATTGATGCATGTCAAGTAACACGTACATGCACGCTGTGGTGGCATGTAACATGCGTACGCCGGAACTCACCTGAACTCGCCAGCCAACCAGCCATATGCGGCTGCAGCACACATCGGAGCTTGAACCCGTAACGCATACACCATACTTCGCGCTGGCCGTATTGCTACTTCATATTTGCTTTGCTTGGGTAGTGAGAAGAACACCGGTTTGTTCCTTTCTCATTTCTCACTCCCTTTCTCTCTCTTTCACCATGCCACGAGGCTCTGTACGAGGAAGCAGACGTGGACGCGGACGCGGGTATGCCGTCGAGGTTACCCGTCGCCGCTCGGGTAGGGCTTCGACCTCGCCATACGCGCGGACTGACGGCATGCGCGCCTTCGCGCCTGATGCCTCCGACACACCGTCAGCAGCTAGTTCAGACTTCTGACCCCGCTCCAGGCACCGACGCTTCTATGCAGGACGAGCCCTCATTGCTCTCCCCGGACATCATTTCCTCAGCCGTTATGAAGATGAACGCCCTCCACCCTCTCCTCGAACGCGTGGAACGCCTGGAGAACAGACAGTGCTGAGTCTGATCTGGAAGCCGATCTCTCCCACGCGCGCGCTCCGCACCCGAAAGATCGCTCCCACGCTCCGAACGTCAAGCTCCGGACCTATCCTGCCCGGAACTTCCAGTTCTATCGGAACCTCCGACTTTGCCAGGACCTCCAGGTCTCTCCAAGCCCTCGGTTCTACCCACACCGCCACGTCGTGCGATTGAAAAAATCCAGCGCGGAGAGTTTGTGGAACTTGAGGAACTCTTGCTGGAAAATTTCAGCTCCCAGGGACAGGAGCCAATACAACTGGTTATAGCTGGCGGCGACATGGCTCAGCTCTCGCTCAACCTCAGCGCAAACCACACGCGCGCCGCGCGCGATCAACGACTTCTCGGCTTGGCTGGAGGCCTGGACGATCTACATGGGCATCGTCGTTCTTGCTCGTCCTGACCGAGCTGATGAGCTCGTCTGCTACCAGCACATACTTTGTACTGCGAACCAAGAGTTCACGACGTCTGCTGTGCTGAACTATGATCGAGCATTTCGCCAACACACCGCCAGCATGGCACTGCGCTGGGACGTGATCAATCAGACGCTGTGGAGTATTCGCCTACTCCGCTCTCCCCGTCTGTCATGCAGACGTCTCCTGTGCTGAACTATGATCGAGCATTTCGCCAACACACCGCCAGCATGGCACTGCGCTGGGACGTGATCAATCAGACGCTGTGGAGTATTCGCCTACTCCGCTCTCCCCGTCTGTCATGCACCAAATGCACGCTCCAAAACAGCCGCGACCGCTGCCTGCCCACATGCCGCAGCTCAACACGCACAGCCCTTTCCATCAGTGGCGGGCAGCACCCGCCAAGACTGTTTTAACTTCAACCGCGGCAGGCCCTGTTCCCGCACACCCTGCGACCGTCTCTACGCCTGCAGCTCATGTGAAGACAAAGGACATGCCGCCACATCCTGCACCAGCACCACCCGCTTCAGGTGGCAGCACCCTGCAGATAGCCACGAGAAGACTTCGAAGCCCACTGAGAAAAAGTAAGCCGACTTCCACTCCCCTGAACACTGTTCGCTTTCACACATTACTGCCTTCCTCGGAATTGTGCTGGACACGGTGCGCATGGAAGCCCGTCTCCCAGACGACAAACCGACGGACCTCCGCGAGCTCCTCAGCGAGCTGTCACGCTGCACCCAGACCACGCAACGCAAACTCGATCACTTCCTGGGGAAACTCTCCTTTGCGTCGAGCGTCGTCGTACCAGGCAGAACATTTACGCGGCGCTTATGGGATATCAACCAGAGGTTTAGCCGCGCCAAGCCCTATTTCCGTATCACTCTGACAGGCATTCCAGCAGCTGGCACCATCGGCACAGCAAGCCCCGGACACTGCAATCCGCCTCCCTCTCCTGGACTGATGCAGGAGGTCGCCGACCTGGCAGCCATGGCAATCGCCCCGACAACACGGCGCACGTACGCCACTGGCGAAAGGAAATTTACGCAATTCTGTGCGTTGCAGAGATGGACGCCCATGCCGGCTACAGACACGATGCGAAGTTGCTTCGCAGCACACAATCGGTTCAACCACAGACAATGCATGTCTACATGGCCGCAGTACGCAACATGCATCTCGAAGCCGGATTCCGAGATCCAATGATGAACGCATTGCTGCCGCCACGTGTTATGCGAGGCATCAAGAGGACGGCGACTGACCCGGCAATCCAGCGCACTCGCCTCCCAATCACCATTGATTTGCTGCGGAAGCTCCTCAGCCTGGACCAACGGCGTCACCAGCAGGACAAGGGCATGCTCAAGGCGGCAATGGTGCTCGCCTTCTTCGGATTTCTTCGATGCGCTGAATTCACTGCGCCTCCAGCCGGGTTTGACCCTGCCACTCATGCCACGCGCCAGGATGTGACTCTGGATGTCACTCAAGGACGCACATATATCCGCTTCCACATCAAGCAATCGAAGACGGACCAACTTCGTCAGGGCCATGCAGATAATCGGTAGTACCACTTCACAACCTTGCCCGGTTGCCGCCCTCCTGGCATATTTTACAGTCTGTCCGTCTGACGCCACTGACGCACTCTTCCGCTACCGCCCCGGGAGACCGCTGACCAGGCAGGCACTGACAGAAGAGCTCCGACAGCTTCTCCCACTCACGGGAACACCCAATTCACGCGATTACGCTGGTCATTCGTTCCGCATCGGTGCCGCCACAACTGCAGCCATGGCGGGTACCCCGGACTGGCTAATCAGGGCAATGGGCTGATGGAGAAGCGACAGTGTCTTGCGCTACATCAGGACAACCGACACAGACATGGGGCAGCTGACCCAAAAGCTGTCAGAGGTACAAGCGCATCACAGAACGCATGGAGGTATGTAAGAACCCGCCACGCGGGCACGCAACTCGCACCCATGCACGTACCCACACGGCTGACCGTTTGGAACAGCACAGCAACTTGCTCTGCTAGGATTGTGCTGACAAACTGCGCTGATAGCAACAACAGTGTCATTCACGTGCATTGCAATGTGTCACAACTTAGCATGGAGGCTGGGCAACCATGGGCCAGCTATCTCCTCTCATCTGGCAATTATCACGGCCTTCGGCCATCACACTCATACTCCCACACTCCTGCCTCCTAACGGGCATTGCACTTCGTGCGTGGGCCGTCCACACTCCGTCCATTTCATGGGCGCCCATCTCATGGGCTGCACTTTGTGCGTGGACATACATACACACTATCATACAGGCCGTCCACACTCCGCCCAGTTCATGGGTGCCCATTTCATGGGCTGCACCTCGTGTGCGTGGGCCGTCCACACTCCGTCCATTTCATGGGCGCCCATCTCATGGGCTGCACTTTGTGCGTGGACATACATACACACTATCATACAGGCCGTCCACACTCCGCCCAGTTCGTGGGTGCCCATTTCATGGGCTGCACCTCGTGCGTGGACTATCCTACATGATTATCACATGCCAGATTCGGTTGCCCAGCACTCCATGAATCCTCCATATGATGTGTGCTCTCCACTGGTCTGCAATAGCGAGTGCATGCGTGTTAATAGCACATTAGAGCTTGCGGTAATGTAGGTTAACACATTGCACAAGCCACCACTTCACACGCGCTCCAGCGGCTTCCAAAGAGCCCGCAGATCCCACGCTATTCATTGATGCATGTCAAGTAACACGTACATGCACGCTGTGGTGGCATGTAACATGCGTACGCCGGAACTCACCTGAACTCGCCAGCCAACCAGCCATATGCGGCTGCAGCACACATCGGAGCTTGAACCCGTAACGCATACACCATACTTCGCGCTGGCCGTATTGCTACTTCATATTTGCTTTGCTTGGGTAGTGAGAAGAACACCGGTTTGTTCCTTTCTCACCCACCCACCTCTTCCCATCTATGAATAATATTGATATCCTTGATTCAACACAGGTATCATAATTCATACAAGACGAAAATAAATAGGAGTGCTGGGCCAGCTATCTCCTCTCATCTGGCAATTATCACGGCCTTCGGCCATCACACTCATACTCCCACACTCCTGCCTCCTAACGGGCATTGCACTTCGTGCGTGGGCCGTCCACACTCCGTCCATTTCATGGGCGCCCATCTCATGGGCTGCACTTTGTGCGTGGACATACATACACACTATCATACAGGCCGTCCACACTCCGCCCAGTTCATGGGTGCCCATTTCATGGGCTGCACCTCGTGTGCGTGGGCCGTCCACACTCCGTCCATTTCATGGGCGCCCATCTCATGGGCTGCACTTTGTGCGTGGACATACATACACACTATCATACAGGCCGTCCACACTCCGCCCAGTTCGTGGGTGCCCATTTCATGGGCTGCACCTCGTGCGTGGACTATCCTACATGATTATCACATGCCAGATTCGGTTGCCCAGCACTCCATGAATCCTCCATATGATGTGTGCTCTCCACTGGTCTGCAATAGCGAGTGCATGCGTGTTAATTGTTGTTGTTGTTGTTGTTGTTGTTGTTGTTGTTGTTGTTGTTGTTGTTGTTGTTGTTGTTGTTGTTGTTGTTGTTGTTGTTGTTGTTGTTGTTGTTGTTGTTGTTGTTGTTGTTGTTGTTGTTGTTGTTGTTGTTGTTGTTGTTGTTGTTGTTGTTGTTGTTGTTGTTGTTGTTGTTGTTGTTGTTGTTGTTGTTGTTGTTGTTGTTGTTGTTGTTGTTGTTGTTGTTGTTGTTGTTGTTGTTGTTGTTGTTGTTGTTGTTGTTGTTGTTGTTGTTGTTGTTGTTGTTGTTGTTGTTGTTGTTGTTTTTGAAT